GTAAGGACTAAGAATTCAATATAAATAAGGCACACACTTGTACATTTAGGTCATAGTAGTAAAAACCCCTGATTACCGGGGGAATTTGGGCCCATGCCCCCTATTAGATACGCCTATGGCCAAGACCTTCTAGCGCATAGCTGAATAATCATTTTACCTAGACCTCAATGTTGTCAGCTGATGCATGACCAGCTAGTTTTTTTTTTTTATTTGTATAAGTATTTATTTTGACTCTAATAATTCATCTAGCTTGTGCACCTAGCTAACATATTTACTCAATTCCAAAAAAAAGTATACTTCTAGAAACACCCCTATGAGTTCACAGGACTCCATCTTGGCTTGTTTTAGTGGAGTACAGTTAAAACAGTTCAGCGATAGGCCCATAGCCCCTCGTAGCAAGTGTATAAACATAAGCTGATAAGCATGCAGCTACTTATGCCTTATGGTTACCTATCCGCTACCTTTCCAATTTCACCGCCAAGTGCATCAACTTCATGTACCAGCTGAGACTTTGCAGGCCCACCAACAGCTGGGTTACAAGGCTGCGATGATTTCCAAAACAAACTATATTCAAGAGCATAAAGAAATTCAAAGATTAAACAACACCAGATACTCAGGTAAACAGTAGCCATTAGTGCATAATGAGACATTTAATTGACCGAAAAAGTTTTTCTTTTATGCAATAGTGTAACTATAGAAACATGTAAACTCTAGAGATCCTTTTTATTACTTCCTCCGGTTCTTATTTAAGTTCCCAGTTTGACTTCACACATATTAAGAAAATGAATTTGACTTTACTGTGGAGTGCACTGTTTGGCACTGTTTGGCACTGTTTGGGCACTGTTTGGCACTGTTTGACACTGTTTTGCACTGTTTTGTTTCCTAAAATGGAAGTGTGAATTTAAATAAGGGACATCCCAAAAAGGAAAGTGGGAACTTTAATAAGAACCGGAGGGAGTACTAATATGACTACTTCAAACTCTAAGCATGGTCTTCAAACTTCAAGATCAAAATCTTGGATGATCAAAATTAAAATAAGACTAGAAAATGATTAAAGCAGCCTGCAAAGGAACTGGTCTTCATCACGCTATGTGCAGACAGGAAGAATGAGCAAATATTCCTTATTAATTGTCAAAATCATGAAATTTGTAAGTTTGCAACACCAAGAAAAACTCTCCTACAATTCTTTATATAGCACATATAAACAAAAAAGAAAAGTCTGTCCCGGCTTAAGCTTTTTATTGAAAAATGGCACGGTTATTTAGACAATAATTAAATAAAGTTATTCGAATATATTTTGAGAAGCAGTTTTTAAAGTATATAATATAATGAGACCATTGATTATAATTATGGTGATATAGGTGTATTATTTTTAATATTTGATGATTAAGTGGTAGAGTGCTAATTATTTTGAAATGAGAACCTTTACTTGGGATGTAGAAAAGGGGCAAGTCAGAAGCTGGACAGATGGAGTATATATTCACACAGGCACAAAATAGAACAACGCACACAGTTTTAAAGACACAAAAGTATAACCAAGGCATAAAAACAAGATTCTTCGTATAAAAAATAGTAGCCAGAAACATGCAAATTTAGTTGCCTACCTGCCACGCAATGCGGTCAATGTTAAGTGTAAGAAGCAGTGTTTTGGCCCCTAGTCTTGCCGAAGCCAAAGCTGCCTCGCAGCCGGCATGACCTCCTCCCACGACGATCACATCATATCTCTCATTACCCACTTCACCATAGCTATATGGCTCTGGAAAAACAAATATAGGGCCCAAAAAACCACTAAAATAACAAATAACAAAGTCTGGATCATTTGAGCTGTCCTGCTCACAAATTGCCCAACAGAGGGAGGGAAAAGAAAAAGAAAAACACAAATTGACCGAATAATTTAAGAACTTACCTTGAGAGCTCAAATCGTTGGCAGTGCAAAGCTGCCGTGCGTTGGAGTGGAGTGTACTGAATAGGGTGGGCAAGCGCAAGTTCCGGCAAGGTCTGAGGAGTTGGGTTTGCTTATGAATAACAGGAAACGAGGGGCGGAACTGCAAGACGAATCGACTAAGTGTCGGGTACAGAGTGGCTGCCATTTCGAGGAAGCCAAAGGAGAGACGAAATGAATTCTTTAGTTATAAATCCACGAAACTGAAGAATGAGAGGCGAGGACTTCGAAACTGAAACATTTGAGTCATACGCCGATGGAGAAAGCGCCAAATTGAACGGTTAATTGCTTCATTTTGTGAGATGGGCTTTGATATGAGCGCGGTAGCTAAGGTATAGTGGAACTGGATCATCCACCGTTGGTTTTTGGCGCATTACTTAGATGAGACGGCGAACGTATGCATTAAGTCGCTAGATCAGACGATGAGACTACGCCTGGCAGAGGCACCTAACGGCCTGTTTGATTAGGGTGCGGAGGACGGTTAGTAATGGAAGCCTGTTGAGGAGTGTGTGAAAACGCTTCATTTAATAGTTGTTGGTTCACCGTTATTATTTTTGAGTTCCCAACTATAAGAAACATTTTCCAAACATGGTCACGAATCTGTTACAACATGATATAGATCATTTTTAAATGTGAATCATGTGTAAGCTTTAAATAATCTCAACTATAATTAATATTTTTTATTAATCCCAACTAGCTATCAACTCTCAACTTTCAGAAGATATAGAAATATTTATATAAATTTCCAAACTAAATATTTTTAAGCATGAAAAATAAATTACAAATATTCTTCAAATGTACCAAAATTAAATAAAATAGTTTTAGTCATTTTTTAATTATTTTAACTGAAATTTTATTTTTTCCTTTCTCCAATTTGTTATTCACAGTTATGTTACCAATTTATGATTTAGTATTATTTTCCTTTATTCAAATTTACATTTTCTATTTTCAAAAAGTAAATTATGATTTAAAATTTTACAATTTAGATCTTTATTCTAGCTTAATCTAAAATTCTAAATATTCTATTTATTCCATTTTAGTATTTTTAATTTCTACCAACGTAAAAATGTGAATAGCTTGAAATGACGATAAAAAAATGTTTACCAAAAGTCCACACTTCTTCTACCTACCAAAATAGTTGCGATTATTATTATCATTTTGATACACTTTTTCTTCTATTTTTTTACTATTTCCGTTATATCACTTAAAATTATAATAGTAATATATTTTCATTAAAAATAGTCAACACTTCCAAAACATATACCCCAAATCACTAAAATTAAATGATGAACTATATACTATAATTTATAGAATATAATAATGTAAAATAAAGAAAATAGAAATACTAAAATGAAAGAATAGAAAATTTAGGTTTTTAGAACTAAGATAGCATAAAAAAAATTTGTAATTTTGAATAAAGGAAAATAATACAAAATCATAAATTGGTAACACAACGGGGGGAAACAAATTGGAAAAAAGGAAAAAAAATAATGAAAATTAATTAAAAAATGACTAAAAATATTTTATTTAACTTCAATACATTTGTATAATTTTTGTAGTTGTTTATACATGTTTAAAAGTATATAGTTCGGAAATTTATAAAGAAAATTGCATCTTCAAAAAATTGAGAGTTGAGAGTTGGGATTAATAATAAAAGGTCAACTATAGTTGGGATTATTTAAAGCGTACACATAGTTCACATTTAAAAATAATCTGTTATACCAGGTTGTAACCGGTTAGGGACTGTTTTTGGAAAATAGTCCTTATAGTTAGGACCATCCAACTATAATCGATAGTTGAGATTATTAACGGCGGACTAGCAATAGTTGAGATTATTATTTTCAATTTTTCCCAGTTAATAATACTTCAATCTTTTTAACAATTTAAGTTTATATTTTACACTTACACTTACCTTCATTTCCGAACTCGTACTTATACTTACTAACACTTTCATTACTAACATCTTTCAACCCTCCATCCAAACAGGCCGTAAATTGAAGAGCATGGTTAGACAATTCTATCCTTGTTTTATTTTTTTATTTTCTTCTGACCACTTGATTTTTAAAATGAATCAAAATAGGACTAAAACCTATGAAAAATTCTATTGTAGGACTATCACTATTCCGTATAATAGTGTAGGACTAAAATATAGATGGAAAGTCAAAATTGCCCTGCAATACAGCTTTGCTCCCGTTCGTAACATACTACTTTGCTTGCGCTGAATGATGTCTCTGCTGCTTTCGGCTTTCCTAGGTAAGTTTTTTCTTCTTCTTTTCTCAAGATTCTCATTCTTTCTTCCATCGTTCATCCGTTTTTTCTCATTTGGATTTTCATTTTTTATAAATTTCATCTAATTCATTTTAAATCGTTCATATTATTTTTCTCCCTATTTGGACTTGAAAATGCCATAATTTCACACTCATTTGAAAAAAAGGTCATTGCCTTGACAAGTTGACATTATGTTTATCAAGATGACAATTTTTATTTTACATCTTCATTACATTTCAAGGCAAAGTGTGACATTTCCAAAGAGTAAAAATGTGACCTGCTTGACATTTTTCACCTACTTTACCAAGTGCAAAGTAGGTGAAAAATAAGAATAATAAAAACTGTGTGATTAAGATTTGTACAGAGGAGAGAGATTTGTGCAGAACCACAAATTAGTTGATTTAATAAGAAAGTGGCAAAATCCAACAGGAAGGAGAGAGTATGTAATAAGTGTGTAAATGCATTTATAAACTAAACTAAACATAACACACAAAATAATTTTCTAACACAAAAAAAAACAAATACTATTGAAGATATTAGAATTAATGTGTAACAATTAACAAATAAAATTTCATATTTTAATCAGTTCGATTTATTCAATTCGGTTTTGAAGGGTAAAAACGAAAACCGAACCAAACAACTACGGTTCAATTCGGTTCTTTACAATCGATTTCGAATTTTTAGCAATTCAATTTATTTTGATTCGGTTTTCAATTTTCAGTTTTCCGGACCCAGCCCTTCCCTCAAGGATGAAAATCACAAGACTTTTCAATTTTCAGACAATTGTTCAAGTCACTCTCATTTTATTAGTCTTTCTTCACCATTTACATTGTATAAGAAGCTTCCATTAATGGACTATTAAGTTATTCTAGAGAGAAGTGGGTGTGTAGAGAAGAAAAAGCATCCTTCAAATGGAGGTAAGTCCTATAAATAGGAAAAGGGGGGTGGGGTCCTATAAATAGAGGGATTTCTAGGCACTGGGTCATTTAATTAGAGCGTCTTGGGCAAAATTTATGGGCAAATAAAAAGGTTATTGTCATGAACTATATTTTGATTTCTGAGTTTCTACACCAAAATACATGGAAAGAAACAATGAAGAAATTTTATCAGGCAGTACTAAGAAACTTCATTGTTTGGATGCTGCCCCTCATCTCCGTGAAATCAGACCACTCTTGCCATCGTTAAGGCTCTAAAAGACAGATGTGACAAAATACCAGAAGATTAGATTTCTCTTTAAAAGACAAGAATAAGATGAGCCTAAAATATGAACGAGCCAAATTACACACCAATTGTTTAAACGATCTGTTTTGCGAAGAACTTTCCTTTTGCTTTTCAGCATCTGGCTTGGCACGGTCAAGAGCCTGAAGCAAATTGATCAAAGCTCATACACTCATCACAAAAAGGTCCATACAAATGTCACATGGCGTTCTCCCCACTCCCCCAAATGGGTAATTAGATGATGGACAAACTTATTATGCTCACAAAAAAAATGACACTCAATGATTGTTCAAACTACACCATCTACCCGAGCAAGTTATATACCCCATCAGTACAGTCACATTCATAGAATATAGACCCTGAAAACACTCTATTTTGGCAACATTCTTATGATCTTATCAACTACTCGCTTGGTTGAGAGAAATGGAGTTTTTGGCGCCTATAATTGCAAATGTAGAAATGTTTCAGCCATGTTAGATTGGGAAAAGAATGGGAGAAAATGAGCAAAAAAATCCAAAGCATTTTTGGCTAGACAAAATTCCGTCAATCCGGCCTCATAAGATTATCAGTACACATACTACACCAGAGATCGTTCTAGAATGTGGATGACAAGAAGGCAAATTTTAATCAAAAGATGGAGAGTTACTTGTATAAGTGATTCCACCCGACGCCTCATCCGAGTATGCATGAAACCCTCTGAACACTGTTTACAAGAGAAACCCGTGAATTGAGAATGGCGGAAACAAGAACATAATATGGTGGAAATGATAACCTCTTCTAGCACATCTGGCATAATGATAAAATCAACAAAATCAGCCACATTTTAAGAGCATGAGATGCCACAGGTATCAGGTAAGCAACCTGATTTTACATGAGCACCACCAGCCTTGACAAGAAACTGCTGACCCCTATTATGTTTGACAACTCCACTGCAATAGTTTTATGCAACAGGAGTGCCAACAACCAAAACCCTAGCTGTCTTTTAAGTAAAATTACAAGAAACATATTTAGTTGAGCATGAAGGCGCACTGCAATTTCAGGTTTTAGATACTTTTAAGCATCTAACTTTTTCTTCTTTCCTCATTTTTTAAAAAGCTAACTTGGTGCAAATTACAACTATTCCATCATTTCCGGTGGACGCAAAGACTCACTATTTTTTAGCTTGGTAATTTGATGGAATAAAGCAAAATGACTCACTTAATTGTTTGTGCTTCTTTGTTATGAAGCATGAGTCAGTCCATTCAATTTCGACGTTATTTTCATCATGTCTTTATGTGCTTTAGTACAGGAGTAAGGATGCGTGATCCGATTTCCCTTACCCCTTTGCGGCACTGGGGTAATGTTGTTGATGTTGTAAATTACAACTAATGTGGCATCTGTTTCATTTCTCCTGGTGTTTGGATATTTAATCAAGAGGCAAATTATCCTACACTATTTTTGGGTAGTCACCTCCAAGTTACAATGATAAATCTTTTTAACTCGCAAATCAAAAGACAGGTAGTAAACGATATTGTATTGATTGATGAGACACAATCGGGTGTTAAAGCAAAATTGGAAGTATGGCAACAAACACTGGAGATTAAGTATTTCAGACTAAGTCGAAGCAAGACAAGGTATATGGAATGCAAGTTTGGTGGAGGTAAAAGTAGTAGTAACAGTGGGATTGTTGAGAACGGAAAAATAAAATCAACGGAATAATGCGTTGCCCAGATAATCAACGATAAAAACCGTTGCCCAGAGCCAAAAGGCTGAAATCCAACTTTATTCCAAGATAAGCCAGAATGAACCATGGCAAGGGGTATAAATAGTCTTCTAGTAAGAGACTCGAAGAAACCCTAATCGATCCCAAATTAATTAAACCCTAATTAGGTCCATATTAACTCTACTCACTACTCTACTAATAATAGGCCCAAACTAGAAAACATAACATAAACTTTATAATAATAAATACAACTATAACCCTAGTCCACAACCAGCCCACAGAGGTGAGCCCAAGCCCGTTCCCGCCCCTTGATCTCTCTGCTCTCTATCAAGGATTACCCTTGATTGTAAGGAGATACCGTGTGTAATATGTTCCGTTAATTGGACTCCATAATTCAAAAAGATGGTAAATTAGATGGAGATGTGTCTCATAGAATCAGAGCGGAGTGGATGAAATGGAAGAGTGCATCAGGACTTCTATGTGATCGAAGTATGCCGATTAGACCGAAAGGTAAATTTTATCGGACAACAATTAGGCCTGCATTAATGTATGGTGTCTAGTGCTGGGCGGTGAAACAATGTCACATTCAAAAGATGAGTGTAGCAGAGATGCATATGTTGTGTTGGATGTGTGGACATACAAAAAAAGACTGCTTGAGAAATGAGATAACTACAGAAAAGGTGGGAGTAGCACCTATAGAAGATAAGATGGCGCATGTTCCTGTGTGGAATTGATCTCTTTTCTCTTTTCTCTCTTTTTCTTTCTCTGTGCACTAATGGACGACGAAGAAATAAAAGAGAGGTGGAGGTCATACTTTGATACCTTGTTCAACGGGAATAAAGTCCAAGGTATTGATAATCTTACTATACCAAAGTGTATGGTAAATAGGGACTTCGTGAGAAGGATTCAAACAACAGAAGTTAAAGAGGTTATGAGAAAAATGGGCCGGAAGAAAGCAGTGGGTCCAGATGGCGTACCGATCGAGGCTTGGAGAAGTTTGGGAAAGAAAGGCATCGAGTGGCTAACACATTTCTTCAACATGACTTGGAGAAACAACAAAATGCCAGTGAGTTGGCGGAAGAGTACTCTCATTCTCTTATTTAAAAATAAAGGTGATGTACAAGAATGTGCTAACTATCGAGGGATTAAGCTTATGAGTCAAACCATGAAACTTTGGGAGCGAGTGGTTGAGCAAAGACTTCGTACAAGTGTGAAAATTTCGGAGAATCAGTTTGGTTTTATGCCTGGACGCTCAACAACTGAGGTCATTCACCTTCTTAGACAAATTGTGGAGAAGTATAGAGACACTAAAAAGGATCTGCATTTGGTGTTCATTGACTTAGAAAAGGCATATGATAGGGTACTCGAGAAGTTCTTTGGTGGGCCTTAACTAGAAAAGGCATATCACGTAAGTATATCAGCATCATCATGGATATGTATGATGTTTGTACTACAAGTGTCCGCACTAGTGTAGGGAGGACCGCAGAGTTCCCTATTACTATCGGAGTGCACCAAGGATCTGCTCTGAGTCCTTTCTTATTTGCTTTAGTCATGGATGAACTAACGAAGTCAATTCAAGAAGATATACCGTGGTGCATGATGTTTGCCGACGATATTGTATTGATTGATGAGACACAATCCGGTGTTAAAGCAAAGTTGGAAGTATGGCGACAAACATTGGAGAGTAAGGGTTTCAGACTGAGCCAAAGCAAGACTGAGTATATGGAGTGCAAGTTCGGTGGAGGTAGAAGCAGTAGCAACAGTGGGATTACTCTTGATGGTAAGGAGATACCAGTGTGTGATATGTTCCGTTACTTGGGATCCATAATTCAGAAGGATGGTGAATTAGATGGAGATGTATGCCATAGAATCAGAGTTGGGTGGATGAAATGGAAAAGTGCTTCAGGAGTTCTATGCGATCGAGGTATGCTGACTAGACTGAAAGGTAAATTTTATCGTACAGCAATTAGGCCGGCATTAATGTATGGTGTAGAGTGTTGGGCGGTGAAGCAATGCCACATTCAAAAGATGAGTGTGACAGAGATGCGTATGTTGCGTTGGATGTGTGGACACACCAGAAAAGACCACTTGAGGAATGAGGTAATCAGACAAAAGGTGGGAGTAGCACCTATAGAAGATCAGATGCAGGAATCTCGTCTGTGGTGGTTTGGGCATGTGCATAGAAGACTGAGTGATGCACCTGTTACACGACTTGAGGGGTGGGGAGAAGAATCAGAGAAGAGAGGGAGGGGAAGACCCAAACAGACTTGGATTAGAGTAATCAGAACTGATATGCGTCTTCTTGGGTTGGATGAGAGTATGGCTTTGGAGAGAGCAAAGTGAAGGGCGCACATCCATGTGGACGATTGATGTCTTGTCTACCTTTCCTCTCTTGTTTCTTTTATCGTTTATCTTCCTTATCTTTTTATATTCTTATGTTATTTTTATCTTCTAGCTTTTTATGCTCTTTTATTTTTTATCTTTTATCTTTGTTATATTCTTGTGTTATTGTTATCTTATATTTATTTATCTTTATTTTATTCATTGTATCTTACTTTTTTTCCTTTTCTTGTCTGTCTTCTCTTTTGGCATCGTTATCATAGATCGATTCATGTTAGCCGACCCTAAATTCTTTTGGGATTAAGGCTTGGATGTTGTTGTTGTTGTTGATTCATCTTCTTAATCTTTGTATGTTCTTAAGTTATTTTTGTCTTTTATCTTTCTTATACTCTTTATCGTTTTATTTTTATCTTCTTATGTTATTTTTATCTTATATTTATCTTTTTCTTATCCATTTTACCTTACTTTATCTTTTTATTCTTCTTATCTTTCTTCTCTTATTGGCTCTGATATCATGGATCGATGCATGTTAGTCGGCTCCAAAATCTTTTGGGGATTGAGGCTTGGATCTTGTTGTTGTTTGTTGCAGTTGAAACTACAAAATAATACTACGTATGTAGTATAATGTGGACTGAAGCAGAAAATGGAGACAAATCCATTAGTTTACCAAGTAAAACTCCCCTCTAATAAATAGTAGGAATTTTATCAATTCAGGACCCGAAAGATAGATTAATTATCAATTCGGGACCTGAAAGATAAAATGCATCGATATAAGACCCGAATGATGAAAAACTATCAATTTAGGACCTGAATGATTGAAAACTATTAATCTAGGACCTAAGTTGTCATAATTTTTTTTATTAAAAAATTTTAAATATTATTTCGTTTTATTAAACTAATAAATTTTTGTGAAGAAAAGTTTATCAAAAATTAGTAATGGAATTAATAAAAAATTAAATAAATCAAAACCTATGAAACGTTAGGTCCTAAATTGATAGTTTTCCATCATTCGGGTCCTATACTGATACGTTTCATCTTTCGGGTCCTGAATTGATAATTAATCTATCTTTCGGGTCCTGAATTGATAAAATTCCTCAATAGTAATAATAATAATAATAAAGCCAGCAAAGAAGAGCAAAATAAGGTACATGGAAGTGATCCAGGCAAGGGAGTGATGTGGAAATATAGAATAAATCACTTTGGGAGCAGAAATCCTACCTTAACATGATAATTCACATAAGCATGAAAGCTTGAGAGATTCCAGACAGTCCTGTCCAGTTTCTGTCCTTCCACATGACGTGGGAAAATGACTGCTGACAAACAAGAAGCATAAACATATGTCACTGCAATAAAGGGATATATGGAAAGAGGAAAATTTATATTCCTAGCATTACCAAAACTGAAATATCCAGCATTAGCTGTCAATGCCTCATTAACAACACCTTCCAGCTCTTGAGGAAGAGAAGGGGACCAAAAACAGGGAGGGGCATTGTGTAGTCCAGCAGTTCGCCTTGCCTCCACAAATTCCTAATTGTAAATTAATAACCCGGTAATGATTTGCTGAAATGTGCTGTTCAGATATACACGCTCCGACACATCAAAGGTAAACTATGTCCTATGAATTATGTGTTGGGCAAATCTGTCACACTAAATTCAAGGTGAAACTGAACAGGACTTGTTAGCAGTGACCCTTCCTCTATCCTTGGGATTAGATAACATAGAAGGAAATAAAATTTGTTGAATTAGATCATACAATTACCTGTAGGAAAGACGTAGCAAGAATGGTATCTATAGAGTCATTGAACCTCATCGGAAATATCACAGTTACTTTCTCTGCCTGCAGCAAGCAACTACAGTTTGTCAAAAAATGTGTTTGATTCTTCCCCTAATTTAATGACATAATTGTTTGATTTATGGTGCGTGAGAGAGAATGTTATTAAGTAGGTGATGCTACCAGAAGGTTCAACAAGAAATTGTAGATTTACTCATAACTAAATAACTAAAGATTTAGTTAAATAACCTTTCCATTATACTGAAAGATTTAGGTCATATAAAGGGGGAGGGAGCACCAAGAGGCAAAAAAGTAGTATTCTCAGGAGAGAAGGTGTGCAGTGTTGGCCATATATAACCTCAATCCCTTCAGGGCAAGGGGCATTCAAGGAGTTAGGTAGCACATAAACAAGTACGTAACTATGTAAATAAATGCAAAGGGATAAATAGATGAAATTTAGGTAGAATTGGAGCTTGCACCCAATTTTCAAATAATTTTCATTTGCACCTTAAAAATTAATGTTTGCATCCCATTTTTCTTCTAAATTGGAGTTTTCACCTCCATTATTAATTGATTTTTTGAACTTAGAGGTGCAAATACTGATTATTTTGAAAATGGGCCTTAATGGGGTGCAAACTAATATTTAGCTGAAAATGGATTACAGGCTCAAAATATCCTGATATTCTATGATACAATACATATTCTAGTACACCCAATCAGACATTGCATGGCTTAGATTGATCTAAATTCAGAAAGAAAAAAATAGACCCTAGGTTCCTTAATTATTCGTCCCCTGCATGATTAGCATCCAATAGGAATCTACACTAGTGGTAATATATAAAGAAAGTAGAAACACACACACAGACAGAATTCAGGGGTCAAACAACACCAATTGGTTCAATGATCCCCTTCCCCTGTGCTTGGACATCCCCAATTTTTATATAGAAATGGTTCCATCATTTGCAATGGAGCCAAAGATTCACTATTTTTTGGGTTAAGAATATGATGGAATGACGCAAAACGGCTCACTAAATTGTTTGCGCTTCTTTGTTACGAAGCAGCAGTCAGTCCATGCAATTTTCAACGCGATTTTCACCATGGCCCATGGGTTATCCGGAAACAGCCTCTTTGTGCTTTAGTATATGGGTAAGGCTGCGTACATCCGACCCCCCTTACCCCAGCATAGGTGGGAGCCTTTGGGGCTTTGTGGTGATGATGATGATGAAATGGTTCGAATATACCAGACACTGAATAACTAAATGTATGCTTTGGTATGAGAAGATATAGAAAATTTTATGTTCGGGAATTGTTATGAAATAGTATAATATTGTATATTGTATATTGAGCCAACAATTTCACCTGGGGTAAGAGGAGGAAACACTCATTTGGCCGATGAACAAGAGCAATAACCTTCTCTGAATCAGAAGGAACTGTCCTCAGAGCTAGAGCATTCAGAATTGCTCTTAATGGGGCCCCCATTACCACTTCCCTTACAGCTGCAATACTTACCAACAGATGATGTTTGTGATCTGCAATGAGCAATGGTAAACTTTAGATTTTAGAAAAGAGCACATGCAAGGAATATAAGATATAAATACGGAGTATAGAATAAGCACAGCTGCACAGGAATGTTTTGATATGTAACTGAGCTTATAGCGGGATGCTTCCACAAATTTGGACGCTTTGTTCAGTGGTCAGTAAACATAAGTGATGATTCAAGAAATTTGGATGCTTTGTTCAGTGGGTCAGTATACATGTATAGGTACACATATACACCCCCCCCCCTGTCTATGCAATATGACACTTGTACTAGTATACACTAACAAAAATATAGAAGCATCATTTCCGGGCAACCATACACAAAATTAAGTAGAATGAAAGACAGTGTATAGTGCATCTCAGAGAGATTTTTCACTTAACACAAAAATAGCATGTCTTCAGTCTCCACCAAACACAATTACATCTAGACATCTAGTATAGCCAATTAAAATTATTTGCTGAATTATAAATAAAGCATATACAAAAATGCATTCATTAAATCTTTTACTGATATATGGTCCCTGAGTGTTAACAAAAGATGTTGATACACTTTCAAAAGTAAGCCGGAAAATTCATCTTTCTGTATAAAAAAAATAGTTACAATAAGAATTTACATGCAGATGATGGAAGGTTTAAACAAAAAATTACACTGATCTTTAAGCATAGTCAAAAGAAGTTTGGGGTGGGGGAGTGTCCTACAGCACAATTACGACAAGCTCATAAGTCATAATGACCTTAAAGAAAAACTTGCAGAACCTTCATCTGGAGGAAGTTTGGACAAATTCAATTTCAATGTGAGATTAAATCCATCTCTTGGAGGATCTAGAATTTGTGCAACCACTCCATATCTAGCCTTTATGGCTTCTATTGCTCCAAGAGGAAGTCCCCCGAAGAATACAGTTTCAGGAGGAGGTATTGGTAAAGACATTGAAAGTAGCAAGATATTTGAATTCCTCATTGAAGCCTGCAGAATCATTTATTCATCAAACTTTCAGCATTAAATGACATAATGTGTTTGCAAAATTGTTAATCTTAATAATTGATTTGAACGCCAATCAATGAGCTCATAATACAGCCGGAGCTAGGTGACTCTGCTAAAAGAAGACCCCCTTCTGCAACTTACCTGGATATGGAACCGAATATCACCAAATTCAACCCATTGGCAATCAAGTTCAACACCCTTATCAAGACTGCAAAGTCAAGCACGTAAATAGGCATTTAGGAATTTACACTATAAAAAAACTTTGTACTACGGGCTGCCTGTTACACAGTGTCCCTAGAAATACAAAAATAAGTACGGAGTATAACTCATTCAACAGAATATGTACTTGGACGAGATTATTCAGCAACTTCGGCGTATCATTAATAACAAGAGTGATCATGAAATGAGATTCTAAAGATGTACCGAAATTTACAGCCGCTTATCAATACAAATTATCAGAGCTAGTGCCTTCAATTCAATTAAAGATATCCTAAAGATTGAACAGACAAGATAAAATTGAACAGCCGTTACGAACTTTTGAGCGCGTGTAGACAAGATCTGAAGGAGGTATCTGGAGTGGGACTGCAACAGTATCATCTGCTTTTGTTTCAGATGTCGTATCTCCAGTGGGACTGCAACTAATTAATAATCTCGTTCGAGCATAGCACAAAACTCGCCGGAAACGACCTTCTCCAACCGGTCTGATCGCCGGAAATGATACTCTGTATGATTGATGACAGCAAGTGCGAGCAAAGAGATTCTCAGCTTTGCTTGAGTCATAATTCAGAAACAAAAAATGGCTGAATATTAATTAATACCCGATATACTCCTTATTAATTCTCAAAATATCGAGTTAACCATGTTTAAAGAAGACCGCCGGTTCAAGTGACGGTTTTATAAACCCACAGCACAAGTGACCTCTGTTTTTTTTGGAAAAGATAACTTAATTAACATTAAAACCGATAACCAGATACAAGGTCGACATCACAAAGGCTACACTGGGGTGAGATTCAGAGCTGGAGTCACGCTCACTAGCGGACCATTTCGCTTACTAGTCGACATCAATGACAAACTACTGATTGGTACAAACATCTACACAACACTTTCTTCTGTTTCACGAGAATTTAGACTATATCTTAATGAAATTAATATTTGTAGACGTTATTGGGAAGTATTTGGGCAAGCTTCCTGCCCAAACTCATATGTAAGGAATAAATGTAATTAGATTTTGATGATGCTAGAGGACTTTAGAAAGTACCCCTTTAGAAAATTGTATTAGAATTTTCTTTGTAATTGTTTTAGTATAATCGACCGACAGAAGACCTCCAGACAGAAGCCTCTTTTGGCCCTCTGATGTTTGTTCCCTGACAGAAGTTCTCCTGACTCTCTGTTGAACTTCACTAGAACAGAAGTACTTAGGTCCTCTGTTGGTCCTTATCTTAACAGAAGGACTGAAGACCCTCTGGTGACTTACGTTTCAACAGAAGTGCTCATGACCCCTTCTGGTTGACTATCTGCTCAAGATAGCAGAAGGTCTGACACTTAGAAGTTTCAGAATTCTATCTCAGCCGGTTATTTAAACGGAAGATTCTCTAACGGCTAGAATACTACAACGGAAAGCCACAGTACACGCATTAAATGCTCATTTAATGCGGATTCGTACGAGAAGACATTTAAGACGAATGATTGACCAAGAATAAGAAAGAATATCTTCTCAAAATAGCAAGTCGCCGAATTTGTGGGTCCAACTGGTCAACTCACTGCACGCGCATTAAATGCATTGTCCTCCTCCTCCAACGGGAAGACAAACCTAGTAGAAAAGATACACTACAAAGAACAACCGGATAACTTTGCTATAACTTTGCCAATACTTTGAAAATCAAGTGCACAAGAAAAACACATTCAAAGACATTTCAAACGCACAAGCCTTCTTGAGATCGAAACTTTATCATCTTCAACAAGAAAGGCGCTCGTTGGGAAGACAGACTTTTAATACCTTCATATCCCTAACAAGAGCAAAGTTCCAATCATTCTTCAACAACTTCAAGCACTTCATCTACAAATCTTTTGTAACGAAGCTAGTTGGAAAACCTCTGTTCTCCCAAGAACTCTTCTCTAACGAGAAGGACGTCCAAGTAACTGGCTGGAGCAGTGAAGTGGTGATACTTCTGGGAAGCTCAGCGAAAGGACCAGTCTTAAAGGAAGCCAGGAAGTGCATCCCAGGAGACATCTAGGCTTGAAGAAGACGTGGAGAACTTCTTAAGTGCTAGAACTAAGGCGTTGTAAATGGACGTTTTTACAAGCTTAGTGGAATAGTGGATTAGAGGAACGAGTTGTTCCTTGAACCACTATAAAAATCCTTGGTGTCATTTACTTACTGCACTTATTTATCGTTCTTATTTGAAATGTTTAACTCCAAAGACTTGGTCTCTGTGTTCAGCAGAACGTGTCTTGTGAGTTAACACAAGGCCTACTGCCTTTGCTTCTCTGAGGCTAATCTGACAGAACCCCTACCAGAACCTCATCCGCTGCCAGTCTGTTCTGCCAACAGAACAGGCTATTCTGTTAAATCTGGTAATTAGCTTGAAAAAGTTAAAAACCAATACAGTCTATTCACCCCCCCCCCTCTAGACCGTATCCAGTACAATCGGGACCAACAAGTGGTATCAGAGCCTCCTTGTTCTAATAATCTTTTAGGTTATTCTCTGAACAAAGATCCACTTGTTTTCTGTTTGCCTCATTTTTAATCTGATATAATGGATCGCTCTCTTTCCAAGAATCTTATGTTCTCATATCTTAAGTTTGATGACTGGAGGATCCGAATGAAGGCACATCTCTGTGCTCTGCATGATGAGATGTGGGAATTACTTGACATTGGGCCATTCACAGGCTTTCAGAAGGTCAACCCTGAGCATGCTATTGACAACACCAGACCTCAGATGATCAATAAGGCCAAATCTGAGTGAACCACTGAAGAAAGAAGGAAGTACAATCTGGACAATATTGCTAAAGACATTCTTTACAAGTCCATTGATGATAGATACTTCAACAGGATAAAGAAGTGCAAGACTGCCAAGGAAATTTGGGATACTCTTGAGCTCATTGGAGCTGGTGATGAGCAAGAGAAGGATAACAAGCTGACAATAGCCAACAAGAAGTTTGATGACTTCAAGCTTCTTCCTGGTGAAAGCATCTCCAAGATGTATGATAGGCTCCTCACTCTCACTTGAGAGATCTCTGAGCTTGGAAAGGAACATACCACCAAGGAGATCAATCTCAAAGTGTTGAGGGGATTGCCCTCAGCATGGAAGATGAAGGTAGTTGTTGTCCAAGCCAACAAGGATGTAAAGACTTACCCCACAGACAAGCTCATCTCAGACCTCAAAGCTCATGAGTTCGAGATGATTTAAGAAAAGGAGGATGTACCAGAAGAAAGGACAACTACAGCCCTCACAACTAGTACATCCAAGGTAAATGATTTTGACCCTTCAATTCTTTTATCTGATGAATATATGGCTGCTTTTGCTAGGAGATTCAAGAAGTTTATGAAGAATCCCAAAGATGGAAGAAGTCCATCTTCCAGTAGAAAGCCATTCCAGAAACCCAAAGCAACAGAGAGCAGTGGTGAGCTCCTCTGTTACAACTGCAGACAACCTGGACATTTCAAGGCAGATTGTCCACATCCAAGAGTGTCCAAGAGACAAGGGCATGATGGAGAAAAGAAGAAATTTGAAGACAGTACCAGAAGGAGGAAAGCACTCGTCACAGAACAGCTCGAGAAAGACCCCTTTCCGAGACAGAATCAAGTTCTGACTCTGACTCTGATGAGGCCTTTTGTTGCCTTGATACTGAGACAGAAGACCTATGCCTCATGGCTCATTCTGATGATGAGGTAACCTCTACTTCTACATCTAGTTTTTCTTCGGTAGGCTTAGCTTTTGATTCTGATTCAATGTCAGAATTTTGGGAAGAGTTTAAGGCCATCCAAGCCACTTATTCTTCTGTTACAGAAGAAAACAGTAAGCTGAAGGTTGAGATTCTTGACTTAAGAAAGGAGGTTGAGATCAAAACCAATCTTCTAATTAAGGAGAGAGATCAGCTGGAAGCTGAAAATGTTTCTCTTCTCAGGAGAATAAGAGAAATTGAGCCTCTTGAGATTAAGTACAAAGCTTACCAGAAGGCCTAGTCTTCCATGGAAAAGATTGTGCTTGATCAACAGATTGGCATTGGATTTGGTCTTGGGTATGGCTCAACAGAATCAGGTGAGCCTTCTGTAATGCCTAGCACCAATGTTGCTAAAGCAGACAAGGTCATAGTGCCACTGATTTCTAGCCCCATCTGTCAAGCTGGTGTATCTGGCACCAAAGTTATTCATGAGGAAATCAGACCAGAAAAAGGAAATATAAAAGTTCAACAGAAACCCCTTTTGAAAATCAATGAACCTGGTAGAAAACTTAACAACAAAAAGGGTTTTCAGAATAATAAAAATAAAAGACAAATCATTAACAGACAACCTCATGATAACCATGCTAGAAATGATCACCAGAATGGCAGATATCAAGAGAGAGTTAACTTTAGGCAGAAGAGGTTGGCTGGTCAACTTCAGAAGCCCAAAGCTAACCGCCCATCTACTCTTGATAGTATATGGGACTTATGTCCAACAAAGAAAGATATGCAAAAGTACATAAACAGGATGCATGACCCTCACAAGCATCTGCCCAAAGTGAATCACACTTCGGTTTACTATAACTACCAGGTGGACAATGGGTATTATCCACCAAGGTTTCACCTGATGAGACCAAAATGGTACCAACTACCCAGACTCCATGACCCCCCCAGGACCCAACATTGCTTGGGTACCTAAATCTTTCTTTTGATCATGCAGGAACTGTGTGCTCGAGCTATCTCAGAGCAAGAATGGTTTATTGATAGTGGATGCTCCAGGCACATGACAGGTGACAGAAGTTGCCTAACAGAGTTCCAGAAATGCAAAGGATCTAGAGTTACCTTTGGAGGTAATGAAAAAGAAGGTCAAATAAAAGGAAGAGGGAAGCTGATCAAAAACCAGATAGTCATTGATGATGTCTCGTATGTCAAAGGCCTGAAGTTCAACTTGCTGAGTGCTAGCCAATTTTGTGACAAAGGCTACACTGTTGAATTCACAAAGGACTTCTGCTATGTGAAGCATGAGACAACAAATGAAGTGGTTCTTACAGCAATAAGAAAGAAGAACATCTATGTGGTTGATTGGAAAACTGCAAAAGATGGAGTATGCCTGATAGCCAAGTGAGATTCAAAGCTAAGCTGGGACTGGCACAAGAAGCTTAGTCATTTGAATTTCAAAACAATCAATAAACTGGCAAGAGAACACATTGTTGATGGACTGCCAGACATAGTATAGAAGAAAGAAACCCTCTGCATTCATGTCAGAAGGGAAAGCAACAGAAGAACTCTTTCAAACCCATTGCTGGAGATCTTTCTACAAGTCCTTTAAATCTGATCCACATGGATTTATGTGGACCTGATGAGACTCCAAGCGTTGGTGGCAAGAAGTACACCCTAGTCATGGTTGATGACTACTCCAGATATACATTGTAACACTTGAGATTTAATTTAAACGGATTAATAGTACTACTCATACCAACAAGGTGCATCTCCTTTTAAGGGAGCTCATTAGCCAAGAACTCTAAAGTTAAGCGTGCTTGCACGGGAGTAGTCTTGGGATGGGTGACCCCCTGGGAAGGTTCTCAGGGCGCGCACGGGTGAGGACAAAGTGCGCGGAAAAGGCTAGTGGCGGTTTGTGAGGATAGTACTAGAGGTCAGAAGTAACTACCTCGAGGCCTACGGGGCC